TCAACATTATATAACTCATAGGGATGTTGATATGTCACGACGCAGCGTCAACCCTAAAACTAACATGAAAGTACACTTTTATGACATTAATTCATATAATATCCTACAATTTCTTAAAGAAACCAAACTGGATTCCAAGATATAACTTCAACCAAAGTACAACATAAAACACACATACCACCGCCTCTAGTAATTATGTCCACACAAACATGTATATACACAAAAGCTGAGTATCGGTATCGAGCCACCCCCCACCCCACGAGGGTTGCATGTGGCACAAGGCCGAGTTTATCGTGGTTTTCCCGAGCCCAGGCTCGGCCAAAAAAAAACCCGCATAACCCGTATAAACGAGATCGGGTTGGTCATTTTCTCCCCGAACGAGATTCTGCCCTTCGGCGGAGCCTCGTCCGGGTTCCTTTCTTCGCTCAGAGGCAGAAGGTTCGACCGTCAAGTCGAAGCTCGGCTTGATTCAAGATTTTCCAAGCGTAGCTTAGATGGCACAAGGCCGGGGGTGGGGGCACCCAGTGAGGATCGAACTCACTACTCAGTCGTAAATTGTTCTAGCAGCCAAGCTTGCTAACCATTACACCGCCCCGAGGTGCCTCCGGTATCTAGCTCCCCCACCCACGAGGGTTGCATGTGGCACAAGGCCGAGTTTATCGTGGGTTTTCCGAGCCCGTAGGCTCAGCCAAAAAATGCCCGTATATCCCGTATAAACGAGATCGGGTTGGTCATTTCTCCCCGAACGAGATTCTGCCCTTCGGCGGAACCTCATCCGGGTTCCTTTCTGCTCAGAGGCAGAGAGTTCGACCGTCAAGTCGAGAAGCTTGGCTTGATTCAAAAGCTGAGTATCATCTACCATGTATTCAATTGTGAAAGCAGAACAACATATATGATATTTTTATCATTTCAAAGGACCCAAGAAAATTAAATTTCGGCATTAAATGAACCCTAAATGGTTGATATGCCGTTAAACAAACAAATCAATTAATAAAACATATTACAGACGTCCGCTCAGCTCCCAGAGCCCAACTGTGTCTTATAATGCAGCTCTGCTGAACTGACCTTAGTTACAGTTTCTGGGAGAGAAACCTCGGTCACGATGACTTGTGAATTTGTGACAACTGCTTAGGCATCAGGTCCAATCACCACTGGACCATAACCCGTTGAATCCACCCCTGGATTTATACTGTAACATAAACTTACAGTTTGAGGGAGAGTGCACATTATCTAGCGTGATCAACAGGCTGAACCAGGCCAGCGCTCTCAAACGCTCAGTCAAGATGACTTCTAACTTCGTGGTACACAACCCTCTAGCAAGGCTCCCAAAGGTTCCGTCTGTCCAATTTCACTCACAAGGCTTGGTTTAAACTGTTTTAGGGTTTTCAGACACTGTAAATTTTGGCCAGTAAATGTAGCTAATACAGTTTATTATAAACAGAGCAATTACTTAAATATTTCTATCTATCAAAATAACGTATAAACAAAAAAAAAAAATAATAATCTTCGTCTATTTCATAATATCTGATGTCATTTGTTTACGTTAAGAAACGCTTCAAGCAGATATGGACGTTCGAGGGAAATGATGGGAAATTTGTTGTTTAAAAAACTAATTTGACTTTGCTAGCCTCCAGAATAAGACGATCAACTACATCCACGTCCTGGGTAAGACGATAAACTACATCCGCATCCTGGGTAAGACAGTAGACTACATCCGCATCCTGAATATGACGATAAGCTACATCCGCGTCTTGGGTAAGACGATAAACTACATCCGCGTCCTGGGTAAGACAATAAACTACATCCGTGTCCTAGGTAAGACTATAAACTACCTCCGCGTCCTGGGTAAGGCGATAAACTACATCCACATCCTGGGTAAGAAGATAAACTACATTTGCGTCCTGAGTAAGACGATAAACTACATCCGCGTTCTGGGTAAGACGATAAACTACATCCACATCCTGGGTAAGACGATAAACTACATCTGCATCCTGAGTAAGACGATAAACTACATCTGCATCCTGAGTAAGACGATAAACTACATCCGCGTCCTGGGTAAGACAATAAACTACATCCAACAGCAAGGCCCCTGATCAGGAGGTTTTGAGGAGCGTGGAACCACCTCTTAATTGCTGGTTTTCCAAGGTCCACTCTCATCCGGGGTGGTAGCACCTTGTTAGGGTCCCAGCTATGGGTAAATACTTGACCCCTAACCTGGGGTCGAAACACTATGAAAGTGTAAAAATAGGTTTTAATACCAGCAATAGATTTTTGTAAAAGGCTATTACCAGTAATGATGGCTTGAAGAAAAAAATAATTACCAGCGATACATTTTGAAAAGAAAAAAAAAATTACCAGCAATAAAAATTTTGTCGGCATTAAATAACCCCTAGAGATTGATATGCAGTAAAACAAACCGAACCAAGCCAATCCTTGAGTTCGCTTAACCAGGAGCTTCCTCTGTAGCTAAAAGGGATAGCACGTCATCCTATATGACGGTTTTGTGTAGGGTACAGTTTCGATTCTTGTTGGAGGACACATATTTTCTATGTAATTTCTTGTACATTCAGGTCGGTAAATGTAGTTAATACTGTTTGCTATAATCAGAGCATTTAAATATTTGTATCTATAAAAATAACGAATAAACAGAAAGTATATTAAAATAATTACCGAACTTAGTCCATTTCACAATATATATATATATATATATATATATATATATATATATATATATATATATATATATATATGGTGGGGGGATAATAATTGATATGATACATTCTTGCTATAAATCTCTTTTATTTCCTGGCATTAAATCAGTGTATTTGATATTTGTTTTTAAATTTCCTGCGTACGTCTAAAGATATTTATTATATACGTAGATATTAATTTTTTGTTTTATCAATAATTCAATTTTCAAAAATATTAAAATTTATTAACAGACGCAAGGTTGCTATGGCAACGATTTTTTATTTATTTTTTTTCAGTTGATTTGTTGATCTTCCAATGGAGAGAAACGTGTTGACAACAGAA